CTAATTGGTCGGAATGCTTTTGGTAGGGTGTAGTCCATCCTACCTGGTTTGGGTATAAATACTACTCTTACTTCTCTCCACTTACTGGGAATATACCTCAGAGCTAGAGAGGCTCTGAATATTCCAACCAGGTGTGGCATAAGAGTGTCCAGTCCCCACTGAAGTAGGGCTGGTCTTATACCGTCAGGCCCTGGTGACTTGAAGGGGGAAAAGCTCGATATAGCCCATCTTATTTTGTCCTCATCAATTACTGTACTAGCATATTGCCAGTCATATTGTGAGGGTGTTATTGGTACATCCGTCCAGTTCGCCGTTCCAGGAAAGACAGAACCTGGGAAGTGAGTTTCCATAAGAATCTCAGCACTCTCCTGGAGGTTGGCGGCTTTGTCGCCATTTTCCCTCGTCAGGACTGCTCCAACTGTAAGCCACAAGAAGAAATGTTGTCTTGTTCCCCTTCACTACCAATAGTAATATCTTCCTTTTCCCATTTTTTCACTTATCTCTCGCTTCTTCGATTTTTTGACATCTCTCAACAGGTTGATTTTGTAAAGGCATAGAATAACCAATTTAATGTTATGTTTAACCTGAAATATCTGAGTTTAATCAGGTTTCGAAGAACGAAATATTCAAATTCAATGTCAGTCAAAAAAGTTTTTTATTCTCTTTGTTTTAATTACAACAAATGATTATCAAACTAAATATTACTATGTACAGGGTAAACAGGGTGAACAGAGTGAACAAATATAATATTGAATATAAATACTAAAATCGTTCAACACATTTTTTCTACTCATTTTTTGAACAGACAGCGTACATCGTCTTATGGATATATACGATAATGTTTACCAATGAAACAAAATATATTCACCAAAACTTTGTGGCTCATCAATATTCTAGCCTTTCCACTATATTATTTCCATAAGTTATCTCAGGTTTAGTATGATTCTTTAAAAATTGCGAGACGTTTATCATAATTATCTCACTGCATACTCTCACAACATGTTTTGCTTATGTATTGCAGCATTAAACGTCATTAAGAAATGAATTTAAAGTATATTCTACAGACTGTTTACACTGTAGTCGACGTATCGGCCTATCAGTTCAAATACCAAACAATTGTGTATCGCCTCACGCACTGAATTTGAAATCACAGACATGTTTCCTTTCCGGTTCGTCTCAGCTGGTTGTCCTAAAACCTCAATTGAAAGTAGTGCATATATACCGGTTAACAAAAATGGAATTTGATCTCCAAAATATTTTACTACAATAAAATGATTATTATTTCCCACCATTTATCTAAACTTGCCGAATATAAACCTTCCACGATGAGTGATGCCGAACTCCGGAAGTTCCCTACGCTCCCTGAACAGGAACAAAAAAATACGTGATTGTTGTCTCGAAAGTGACCGAATGAAATGATTTAATGTTTCCACGGAAACTGGGTAGAAACATTCATATAAGTTACAATCTGAATCCACGGAGAATCGAAAACGTCAGCGATATTCGACACCGCTGACGAAGATGATGTTGGATTTTTATTCTTATGAGAATTTTCATTTTTATATTCAGTCTGACTTGATACCTCCTTATTGTAACACGTGTTTTTGAATAAAATAAACTTTTTAAAAACTTATTTTTTGAAAACCAACTCTTAACTTATACTTTCACACGCAATCTTTGGCATGAAAACTTTTGTATTTTAATTGATAACATTTTATTGCCTACTTTACCTATTATGAATGTTCCAGTTGAAAGAGTATTTTTATGGTGAAACAATTTAAGACATCTGAAAATACAAACTTACAGATTCCACTTTCAAAGACGATGTTGAAAACGAAGGTTAATTCAAAAAGAACATACTAACGTTATTCTTATTCAAAATCGCCACCCGCTGTATCGAATCAAATTTTTGTTTCGTAAAAATATACAAAAACTGAATGTTTTTATTATCTTCTGACTTGTGATGCACTGTTTGGAACCTTTGTTGTAGTAATAAATATTACTAGAGTTTTATCCCAACACCAAACCGTTATTTTTAACACCTCGGAAAGTGTATCCATCACCAAGTGATCTTCTTCAAGAGGAAGAATAAACTGTTTAATCAGGAGTCAAGCTACTGGAAAATAATTCCATGGAAATCAAAAGATAAATGAATGAGTATAAGAATAAGTATATGTATATACATACACAACGGGTTTACTGTCACCTTGTCTAAGGTGGGCTCTATTATACAATCCTTTTTTAGGTGAACCTCAAGCTGTACCTAAAATTATTCATAGGCATCATTAAAACAGTGCTCATGCGAGATGATAGTGGTCTCTAGAACCCAGTTGAAACCTTGGCATCACTGCCATTTATATAAAAAATAAATGTCATAACAAAAAACATAACCTTTATAATTATGTGGATTTTGAAACGTATTGAAATAGATAAAAATGTTAATTTCAAAATGGAATCAAATACTGTTCTTATTAATAATTTTATTTGAAATATCTGCCGCAATAAGGACTTACACGAAGGACGATTTGAATAAATTGAGGTAACAATTCCTGAAAGAAATGTTTTGCTTATATTCGTAAGACACCGTCAGCATTCTCATATATTTTTTAGAGAAGAAGTCCGGGAAATGTTTTATCATGCCTATGATAGTTATTTAAAATATGCCTATCCTTATGATGAACTTAGACCATTGAGCTGTGATGGAATGGATACTTATGGAAGGTTAGAACTGAATTTTTTCTCATTTGTATCCTCAAGAAAAAATATATTTCTAGTTATTCGCTGACTTTGATTGATGCCCTAGACACCCTGGCGATAATGGGTAATCATTCAGAATTCCAAAGGGTCGTGGATATTCTTTCAACAAAAACTGACTTTGATGCCAATATTAATGTATCTGTTTTTGAAACAAACATCAGAATCATAGGAGGTCTACTAAGTGCACATTTGCTATCACATAGGTAAGAATATATAAAAATTATCATTTTGTTCAGTGTAAAAAAACAAAAACAATCTACTGTGCAGTTCTCTAGACAGTGCACTCAGATACAAATATTTCATTATTCCCTGTACATGATACGAAACTTCTAAATAAACATAAAAACATTCAGTGTTGAACTCCCCATATAGTGGAGGCGGCGTTTGGAAGCCTGTAGATAGTCTGCACAGGCCATTGACCTCACCTACCCCCTTGCTGACCACTCACTAGTACACTCACTACAGAGAAATGAAACAGAAAAATTTGAAAAATGTTTGTTCCTTAGGCCATCTATAAAACTTCGTGCTTTTTTCGAGCTGACAGCACACACAGATATTTCTGAACTCTTTGAGCTCAAGGATATGACTTTTTTTCGTCTCTGAGCATCTCAAAAAGAATAATAGCGCTTTCTTTATATTTTTTAAAAACAATATTCACCCAGCCGTTTACTAAACTGGTTTGATGCTGATATTTTGAGAAGGCACTTTGTTGTCAAAATCTAAATGAATTGACTGATTTTGGAAAAATCAATTAAAAAAAACACTTTGGAAATTTTGGACTGAGGTTTTGATGACCAGTTGAGCTGTTTGAAAGATATACAATTTTTTTTTCATTCACAAAATTAGTTTTATGATTTTTTTTTAAATTAAAAAAATTAGTTTTGTGAATACCTTTCGAATACTGCAAGTCCTATGTTAATTGGTCAATTTGTTCATGAGTTATTCAAGGAGTACACAAGAACCCACATATGTCTGTTATGGATATTCCAGTTTTTGAAAATTTAAAATGTTATTAATGGGAAGTTAAAAATTATTCACAAATAGTTGAACTCTCATTGGGTTAACAATTTTTAATAGCATAATATAAAATGGTCAACAACATGTATAAAAAGGTGAAAACATTGGATACCTGATGTCAAAGCTATTTTTCGAGTTTATTGGCTGTGGTCTGTAGGCTTTCATACTTGACGTTTCGTCTGCGACTGCGGTAGATATTAAAGGCGAAGCAATGAATGAAGTGCTTGTCAAGGTTTGGGTCTCCAGGTTCATTCTATTTTTGGTCAATGTGGTTTCTTTCTATTGGTTGGTTAGAATTACCTCTTTTTATGAGTGAAATTTGAATGCAAACAGCCAGACTTTACGTATTTTTCTTGAGTGCATGTTCTACTATTGCTGGTTTGTCGCTATGTTTTTCTGTTCAAAAAACATGCTTCTCTTTGTAGTATCAATCTAGATTATTCCACAGTCACAAGGGATTGGTGTACCTCTCTGGGATCCATAACTGACTTATGGTTCTCATTGACCTGAACACTGTGTTCAGAGCTACTACCCAAGACTATATAGGGAGGCTATAGAAATTCGAAAGGACAAAAATAATTTTTGTACACTCTTCAAGCCCCCTGCATCGTATTCCATTGTTCATTTCCTTCAATATGCTATTCAGTGCATGTTTTTGTAACTTATTGATGTTCATAGTTATGATGGTGTTGTGAAGTTGGTCAGGGTTAAAAAAATTTAATAAGTAATGGAAGCCTTATTTAAATAATAATATATATCTTCGAAAATAAAAATATGTTGAAAAAACATATTTTCATATTCAACTATTATCTGATAGTATCTCGTTTACCCGTAACCCATGATTGTGAAGAGCCACCCGCCACACGGGCCCCTGCAGACCAATTGGACTCTGCAACCAATCACAACAATAAGAAATATATGTTATCCCAAAATATAACATTTAGACTCACAAAACTACTTATACATATAAAATAATCATTATTGGTAATATTCATACCTAATATAATTTCAGATGTAAATTTTATCAGTTATTTACATTGTTTAATTCCAATAGGAAAATTATTATAATTCAGCAAATCATGGTGGAGTATAGATTTCATTGTTTAAACATAATTTGTTGGTGTATGCAACATAAAAATTAGTATAATATCTAGTTAGGTAATTGTGAATTTCTATTGTCATTGTTCTAAATTGATTGAAATAATACAGTCCATCATTTGAAACTTCATAGTTATAGATGTCATTCTGTCAAATTTAAAAAATATTCACATTATTCTTGGAATCTTACAGATATTTACTTAAATTGGGTTTTTTATTTTAGAGCAGTATCATGACAAGTACTGAGATACTTAATAAATACATCATACACACGCCAAAAAAAATGTTTACACTTCGTACAGTCCACTTATGAAATTTCAATGATTCTGTTATGTTGAGCTATTCAGATAAAGTGCTACCACTATTTATACATGTTGTCTGTTAAAAACAAAGGTGAATTTTAATTTTTCTCAAAAAATATTTATTTATCCATGAATTTCTATTTTGTTCCCTTCAAAGTAGTCCCCGTTCTTTTATGGGTCTTTTCAATCTTGGAGACATTAAAAAGCAATGAGAATGGGTAGGTGCATTATCATGATGCAAAAGCCATGAATTGTTTTTCCACAGTATCGGACGTTTTCTTCGTATTGATTCTCATAAGTGGCGCATAACTTCAAGATAATACTCTCTATTGACCATACGATCATATGGCAAGAACTCCTGATTCACTACACCAAGGTACTCAGAGTGCTTTTGTTGTCTTTGTTCTTCTGTGCTCTTCCATTGGGACAATTGGACTTTGGTTTCGATGTCATAACCATAAACCCACAATTCGTCACCATTTATGTCCCTTTTAGACAAATCTGAATCGCCGTTGATGTCATTCAACAATACCTTAGCGATGCTCATGTGACTGTTTTTTTGGTCAAATTTCAGCAGTGTATATTCGTTCATCTTTGACAGTATCACTACGTTTTGGCATGATCACCCTTGCCATATTATTTATGTGGTTTACTTGGTAGCTGAACTTGAAACTGAAATAATCCTTGTCAGTGCTTGTTTATTTATACGTTGGCATAGGCTGTAGTTGTGGCACAGTATAGCTAAAAGCAGTAGTCCGAGTATCCCCACTTCTTGGTAACAAATCACAGCGCTCATGATCGAATCGTAGCAGGTAATTTTTGGATGCGATGCCTCGCAAAATTGCCTCCGTTATCGACAATTTTGGAATTACCTTCGCTACCACACGCTTGATGCCCAAAATTTACGAAAAAACTGCATGACAACATCCTCAGGAACTTCTCTAATAGTGATTCTACGATTCTCTATAACAATTTTCTTCACTTTCTCAACATTTTCATCGGTTATTGAAGTGCTGGGGAGTCCAGGGCGTGCGTCGTCATTCACATACTCTCGACCTTTTAAAGTTTGTACCACTTTTAAACATTTTTCTGACTTAGAGTACAATCACCATATGCTACATTTTTAGGATTTTTGAGCCCTCAATTCCATTTTTTACACAAAATTTTATGCAAATTCTTGGATCCATTTTTTTAATAGCAGAAAATCGCCGAACACTTTTATGCCTCTCACCAACAAACTAAACATGCCGAACAGCTGAAACTGTGAACATACGTTCGAGACGAGTGTACCAATATAAAAAAAAATTAAAAAATTCCAAAGCCTAAGAACAGATTAAAAATGAGTTTTCATCCCCTGATGAAGCCCAAATCAATAGGTTAAATATATGTTTCGAAAAGTTTTTTGCGTTTTTGGTGCAATAAAGCAGTGATTAAGTTAGAAGAATTATACAGTAAAGACTACGGTCCTAAGCTAAAATCTTTTCACATTTTCAGAGCTGGTGCAAAACTAGAGCCTGGTTGGCCCTGTAATGGGCCGCTCTTAAGATTAGCAGAAGATGTTGCAAAGAGATTAATAGTTGCCTTCGACAGCAAAACTGGTATGCCTTATGGGACTGTTAATCTTCATAGTGGCGTTCCTAGAGGTGAAACTACAGTTACATGTACAGCTGGTGTTGGTACTTTCATAGTTGAATTCGGTACATTGAGCAGACTCACAGGAGATCCGTTGTATGAAGAGGTAACATGTTTTGATGTCCCATTCCACATAATTTTAGTGGATGTAAAATTCAAGTATAATGTTGATAATCTAAGGTAACCTGAGAAATTTGCTTTCAAAGTGGAAACTTTCCTATCAGATATTCGTCCCAAGTCTATGGAGATTGCTTTGATTCGGTCAATAGCTAGTTGTAAGAAAATAAATATTCAGTTTTGAAATCTCGAAATAATCATCTTTCCCAACGTTCCTTCAAAGTGGAATCAGGTAAGTGCCTGCTGCTAAACAACTACTTTACCGGCTCAAACCGCAACTTGACATAAATGTATCCAAGTTTGCTCACAGATGCTCAACTATTTTTTTTAACAAATACAAGAGCTTGTCAGCACTTTTACAGCCTTGGAACCGAAGGTCCGCATCAACTACACGCCCAGCCGGGTACTTCCTCTGAAGGACGCTCCGAAAGAGAACCGTCTCGAGTGCTGTCTGGGTGACATAGCGCCCAGTGTGGGGCGGAAATGAACCTCCTGAAGGAAGTAGACTGAGCAGGATTAACTTCTTTCACCAAGAAAAGTAACTTTGGAGCTTAGAGTTCACTTTTGAAGTCCCTGTTGTCCCGCTTGGACCAGGGAAAGAAGAATTTGAGCACCGAAAGTTCTGAAAAAAGTTTTAGAGCTGCAGAAGAGGTATCTTATATTGTGAGGTAAATGGAATCCCCCATCTCACTTCATACAACCTGGACCCTCCCAGGAGTAGCACAGAGACTAGCTGGTCCTTCCCAAGGATGGCCCTTTGTCGATAGTCTTGCAGATGCCTCTCATTCATCCAGCAGCAGGACCATGCTGAAATCAATTGAGTGATCACCTACATAGCGGTTTGCATTAATGTCTGTCGAATATTATAATTCAGTGTTCATAGTTTTAGCAGGCATTCACCAGATACTACTGTGAGAGAACATTGGGAGAAATTGATGTTTCAAGATCAGTAGCAGTAGTTACACAAGTTAGCACTTGTGTAACTACTGCTGAGTTGGGTATAGATTCAAACACTTCCTGTTTTTGAAGAATTAAAAAAATCTAGTTTGACCTCGGGACTGACTTTATAAGTGGCATGTATAAAATGATCTGTGTGAGTGTGTCAAATGTCAGTTTTTATCGGCACATGATAAGGTAATTCCCACACCTTTACTCAGCTTCACAAGTCTAAAGATTTCTAAGGTTGTCTGTAAGGAGCCTCTGATAGGCAATTGAAACAATTTTCAAATAATACAGATTCAAGAGTTTCTACTACTTTCAAAGATTTTTCTCTTCAGTTTTCCGAATACTTGAGTGTATGTATGCTGTAGGTAAGTTACTTCTCAACCTGCTCGTAATTCCTTATTTTCATTTTGACAATCCATGATATCCTCAAAAACCAAATCTATATGCATAATCAAATAGCTTCAAAGTTCATTTCTCTGATCATTGCAGTAAAATTGAAAATATATAGTAATGCACAGTTTGTAATCTTAGTTGCAACTTCAAGTTTTCATTAGTCGAGAGTAATTTCTTCCATGTACAGCTGCCGGACTGAGTCATGGCCGGTGAAAAGCCCCTCCCTCAAGATGCGCAGTAGATGTGTAAAAATCTGTTATGAGTCTGTTAGATTATTTGAGCCGTAAACATAAAATTGCAAACAAAAGTTTTTATTCCATGTTTCCTAATACTTTCTTTGTCATAAACCGACCCAAACTTTACGCAGATATGATTTCTCCACCAGCCATGACTCAGTCCGGTAGCTGTATATGCAATTTTTCTTGCAATTGCAGAGTGATCCCATGATTGTCAGTGTCTTTGTGGTTATTGTTTTGAATTCTCAAAAAAGTATAAGATAACATTAGAAATTGAGAACTATAATAAAAAGTGTTTTATAAAAACTACAGTGATAAATAAAAATGACAAAGCGTCACCAGTTTGACTCCCTTTCTTGATACTTATAAAATGTAAAATCATAACTTCTTATTTTCAGGTTGCAATGAACGCAATTTATTCTCTTTTCAACCACAAATCTCAGCTTGGGCTATTTGGAAATCACATTGATATAGATTCAGGTAGATGGACCGCTCAAGATGCTGGTATTGGATCGGGAGTTGATTCTTTTTTCGAGTACTTGGTGAAAGGTTCCATCTTACTTCAAAGGCCTGAACTGATGGAAATGTTCCACGAAGCTAGAAAGTCTATTGACAAATACATGAAGAAAGACGATTGGTACATGTGGGTTTCAATGACCAAGGGTCAAATAACTTTGCCGGTTTTTCAGTCATTGGAGTCATATTGGCCTGGAGTTTTGAGTTTAATAGGTAAATATCCAATCTAATTTACTTGTCTGTATAAATATTTTGAAGAAGTTCAGGTATTCCATCTGAAAATAATTGTAAATAACTGGTAGATAAAGTTTCAGCAGGACAACTCAATAGCCTCATCTAGCTTCATAGTCTTATTCTGATGAGCATACCATATATCATGTCAGATTTAAGTCTCTAGATTGGAACTCAGATGTCATTGAAATTGTCTTCCAAAAAAATATTCATCTAGTAACTTGTAATTTAGATCTTTTTTTTATATGTATTAATAATTTTTTTACCTTTTGGATAGAATTGTATAATAGTAAGTCAATGTAGCCATGAAAAATTTAGGAAACATGAAACAGTCAATCAAAGACAACAAAATCAGGGATGGGTGTCTGTGGTTGAATGGAACCTGAAATAAGAAAAGAAAATAACTACAATAAAAACACTTCATAAAGATATGTGGATCATTCACATCTTTCGAAACTGCTACTTTTACAGAAATATTGAATTACCTCAATGGAAAAATACTTTTTGCAACAACTACTTTCATACGAATGTTGTATTACAGGAAAATAACCTTTTCCTGTTCAGTTTGTAATAGAAACATTCATTATTGAATTGAAACAGATATCCGATGTTAGATTTGTGATTTTTGACTTCAAAAAGTGCATGAAATAAATTTCTTTTCTAATCAGTTCTCACTTTTTTGTGTATTTCCCTGTATTTTGAGATTATTTATAGTTACCTGAGTTTTCTTCGAGAAATATCGTAGAGTGTAGCACATACTTGGGTTTATTTTAACTACTCTCACTGCCACCTCTATGAGTCTTTTTCACATTTTCTCAGGAATTTGTGGTTATTCAGTATAATAGTATACTAACGACCAGCCCCGGCTCCGCACTGGTGCAATGCTGATACTAAATATACATATAAACATGTGCAGTCGCTGCTAATCATAAAGTGCTACTATCCACAGTGTTAGTATCCACATTCGTCACCCGAATACTAACAATCGAAACGTCGTGAAGTAACTTGGCTTGAAATTATTTTCAATTTTAATTTCTTTTTTAAATGTTCAATTTTTAATTTTTTACTTATTTTATTTTATTGTATTTATTACTATTATTTTTTTCTATTTTCACGGCCCAAAATTTACCAACTTTTTCCCAAGTCGAAAAAGAAGGGGGGAGGCTCTCCCCAATGGCGACGGCCCTACCCAGACCGATCGAAAAGTGATTTGGCTGGGCATGTTGGAAAAGTACAGGCAGTCCAAAATTTGATAATCTCTTCATACATCTTGGCTCATTTCATTTCATTTTTTCATTCATTTAATTTTTTAATGCGATTGGACTGTTTATCAATGAGTGTGGATTGTCACATATGATGATTGACACTAAGATTATAGCATCAGGCTCGGTGAACGGTGATTTAAGGAAACAGTTCATTACTGAATGTGCTATATATATGGAAGTAAATTTGACAAACCAATACAAATAATTAACGTCAATGACGTTCGGTTTCATCTGTTTTCAAGCACTTGCCGGTTTAAAAAATCAGACGATAATTTTGAGAAAAAAAATTTCAATTTTAACCCATCAAGTCTACCATGTTAAGCTGAATTGTATTAACATTTACTACGAGTTCGTTACGTCACAAAGTTTTGGAGAAATGCTCATTTAAAACACCCAACATTTCGATAAATATGATTTATCTGGTTTGTTGGAGACCAATCACCATCATTAGTTGCCGACATTATTATTGATAAAAGTTGAAAATGATATACTACCTAATAAATATCTTTGCCAAAAGATTATAAAAATGTTTCATACACTTCAAGAGATGATGATGACAATGAAAGTGATGAAGATGGTGATTACCAAGATGCCTCTGTTTTTATTCTATTAACACGCTTTTATTATTAGCTTCACCTGTATATATGTATGTTTGTTTGTTTGCTTGTAACTCTCAAGCTCGAGATCTGTATTTGACAGAATTATCAACATTATTGCTTGATCTATTCGCGGGCAGAACTACTTAAGCAATGCCTTATATAATATAATAATTGGAATTATGTGCTCTTTTACTTATGTAAGACTAATAATTTTATAAGAGTTAGGTATGAACTGATTAAACGTTATATACATTATACAAAAATTTCACCAACTCATTACATTTACTTGTAATAAATGAGTTGCCATTTTTCACATCAGGAAACAGATTCAATAGAGGGGAAGAATTGAATTCGGTCAATCAGTGAATTTTCAAGATTCTGGAATCGTATCAATTCTCAAGCATTCCAAAAGATTGAGTTTGAAACCTTCCTTATCCAAATATCATAGTCGTGGTAGAACTTATGTCCCTCTGATGGTTCGCAAATGTGGAATTGGTCGTCACATTCAAGAAACCAACCCAATTTTTTTTCATTCTTTGGAAAAAGGTTCAATATAATATTTCGGTCAAGACCTACAAGTCAACTTTTATACAACAAAATCCTGTTCTATCCGACACTGAAATTTTTTCTTCATTGTTTTTAATGAATTTGCCTGGAGTATTATTTGTTCTGTCTTTCTTTCCCAAAAAACTAGCGATGTTATTGGTGGGTTTACCAAATAATATTAAGGGCCTGTGACGCTTATTATCGTTTCTTGGAGTGGGGTAGACCTGGTAATTGGCTTGTCTTTGTAATGTTTTGAAAAAAATAGAGTTGATAATATCCACCTTGTAACCGTTGTTGTCCGCTATTTCTTTGATAAAACTCAGTTCTCTTACTTTCCAAAAGAGGAACGTTCAATAGTCTGCGAAGTAGATTCCTATGATAGTATGCTTGTCTCTTATTTCTGTATATCAAGTCTTGAACCATTATATTTGATTATTTTCATTATATATATTCTACATAGTGATCATATATGGTTGTAATTGCCCAATAATCGCAATGATGATTTGTCAATATGAATGATATGTCACTTAATCCAGTGTTCAAGCTACATCATCATATAAGTGATGAATAGGGAACTTAAACTTTTCCGTTATAAACAATCCATATTTCAATGGATGTCACTTTATCTGGTTTTAGCTGAAATATGTTTCATTTATCATTTAATCATTCATCATATCTAATAATATAATTATATTCTAGATTAAAGATGTTCGTGACCACAGAAAAGAAGACAGAATGGAATCTTTCTTCCTGTCAGAAACAACAAAGTATTTATATCTTCTATTTGACACTGACAATTTCATTCACAATCAGGGACAATATGGGACAGTAATCAACACCCCAAATGGAGAGTGTGTCATAGAGGCTGGAGGTTATATTTTCAATACAGAAGCTCATCCTGTAGATCCGAGTGCTTTACATTGTTGTCACAGTATATCAAACAAAAACTTATTAGATCTCAAGGAATTGGAAAAAAAGAAGTCTTTGTTCAGAGGTGAAACAGTGAGAGATAGAAAAAATCAAGTGCCTCATGGACAGCAAAATGACATTGATACTTCTGAGGAGTTTGAAGACGAAAAAATAACTATAGTAACGGAATCCACAAGTACTTACGTCAAACTGGAAGATAACGACAGTGTCAGCCAGAAAATTAGTGTAGCAAATGAAGACTATCAAGATAATATCACGTTTCTTGATGAGGCCGACGAAATTTCATTTCCGAAAATATTGAGCCAGATAATTAGGAAGGAGGGAAAGAAGTTTGACCCTCAAGAGATGCTGGAAAGATTTCGAACTGAAAATAAATATCCCAGGAACGCATCTTGGGAAAACAATTATATGTTGTTGTCGTGCAAAGGACAGTCTTTTCTACAAAGGTTATCAGTTTTGGGGGAGTTTTTCAATAAATAATTTGGTTCATTCATCTTTGATTTAATATTCCCAAAAGTATGAAACTGTAGTTGAGATACTACCTACTCGAGCAAAATCAGACCTTCGACCTAGTTGAGCTCACAATGAACTGTAGATATATTAGACAATGGTCCATAACCCCTTGAAGTGATAGTATGTTGAAATGGGTTTTTTCTTATGAACAACATCTATTTTTGGCACACATGCTCTTGTCTTGATAATAAGATTTCTTCAGCACGCTGAAAATTTTTATTCAGTCTTACATCACTTCTATGGGAGCTTATTTTAGCAGATAATATCCTCGAATTTGTTCCCAAGAAGTGGATAAATACTCATGTGCAGTGACGCAACATACTCTGAGATCAAAGATCAAATTTGATAAAATATAAATTTTTCATTTAGAAAGAAGCATAAACACGAAGCTCTTTCTTATCAGTGTCCATTTTTTCAATTTCTTTTCTATTGTAATTCGTTTTAACGTCCTGAAATAGTGTCTATCCAGAGACGAAAGCTGACGAATTGTAATAAGAGAGTAAGTGTATTGACTACAAATCACGTTACTCTCTACCTTCCATATACTACCTTCACTCATTACCGAGATATATACACATGATTACATATGATTAGTAATTAATATTTCGGAAAGGTGCATATGTCATGCTTCAGGTTTAGATGAGAAAACACCTTACCCCTTGCCTCTCATGTAGACATATGACTTTGTAGATACATGTGGCAGATACCCGGCGGAAAAACAACAACTAACCCAGCTAATGCCGTGCAAAAAGGTGAAGTAGAACCGTAAAGCAGAAATTAATTTTATTTGGTCGATATGAACAACCAATAGACCGGTTTCGGAATAGGTACTTGCCACATCATCAGTACCGGGCATGGTCTCTTCAGAACTGACTGAACCGTGTGAGTATCACGACCAAATAAGTAAATTCCAGCTAGTCGTGAACTCTTTCTGCAGTTGATTTGGGATAATGATTGTTATTCCGGAGAGGTTAATATAGCAGGTTCAGGTGAAAAAACACTTTACCCCTTGCTTCTCGTGTATACCTACGACTTTTTGGTATGTGTGGCAAATACCCGACAGAAAAACAACTAACTCAGCTAATGCCACGCAGAAAGCTGAAGTAAAACGATCAGGCACCTGTGCAACGTTTTCGATTTGGAAAATTGTTCACAAGTTATTTTCCACTATGAAAAACAGAAATTAATTTGTCTATCGATAGATCAACACTTAAATTTCGAATTTTCTTCATTATTTTCTTCTTGCGGTTTCTCTTCTGCTATACTATTTTTGGAGGTGATCTGTAAAAGAAGTCGTTTGAAACGAGTTTTCAATCAGTCTATTGCACCACTTATAAAAAGAATAGGTCACACAGACCTTTTCGCTCCAAAAATGATAAATGATAACTTAAGTTTGTTAACACCTAAACTATTCCACGTCACGATCTGACTATTAATACCGATGGCGCCTTTTTAGCATGCTATCGTCTTTACTTTTCTGTCCCTGTGCTGCATACGTCACGATCCCATTTATTAATACCGATAATGTCAGCACCCTACGAATTTTCCCCGATTCAATATTCCCTAACCCTACATCTAACACGTCGCGATATCCTTTATTGATACTGATGTCTTTTGATACACTGCCATCTTTTATTTTTATTTGATTCAACACTTCCATCCCGCCTGTGACATTCCACGTCACGATTCCTTCCATTGGTACCATGTTCCTTTACTGTTTTTTTTTTCTTTCAATGCAACATTTCTTACTCTTTTAATCGACTTGTCATATGGAATACGTCACGGTCCCAATTAAAACATTAGAGAAGATTTAGTGTCTTTTTGGCACGCAACAATTTTTCTTTTCTCCATCCAGCATCTTCTCCCCTTCCATTTGATAAGTCATAAGTCAGGATCAAACTATCAATAATGAAGAAGCGAATTGGTGCTTTTTGGCACGCAAGAATCTTCATTATTTCTAATTCCAATTCAACATCCCCTATCGTTCACTTGATGTGCTTGTATGTCACGATCCAACTATTATTAACGAAGATACATCTTAGTGCCTTCATGATACGCAGCAATCTTTGTTTTTCTCTATCAATAAATTCAACTTTCTTTTACGTTTGAATTTATTGATAAAAAAAAGATTGTCATAAAGACACTAAGATGTATCTTCATTAATAATAGTTAGATCGTGACATGCAGCACATTAAGTAAAAGGATAGCGGATATTGAATTGGAATTAGAAACGTGCGCCATACGTCATGATGCTTCAATTATTAACGAAGGTATGTATGTATATATACATATACAATGATATTCCGAAGAGGTGCACTATATGCCCAAAGTTCAGGTGAAAAACACCTTGTTATCTTACCCCTTGCCACATGAGTGGCAATGAGAAGAAAAAAATGATCTATAGTAAATGGTCAAAAACGTTTCCACCAACTTCCATACAATGGTACAAACCAGCTTCCATTGTCGCCCTCACATGGTTGAGAATCTCGGGAGTTATTTCTCTGCAATGCTTCATGACATTCTCTCTCAAATTTTCTAATGTTGATTCTATCTCATACACTTTAGACTTCAAATGACCCCATAGAAAGAAATCTACAGGAGTGAGATCCTGAAACCTTGGTGGTCATTCTGTAGGACCTCTTCTGCCAATCCAGCGACCAGGAAAATGAGCATCCAAAAATTGTCGCACTGGAGCTGCATAATGAGGCGGTGCACCATCCTGCTGAAAAACGATTTCGTTTTTGAATAAATTTCTCCTCAATTGCCCTATTGATGCACGGTATTATTCGATTCTCCAACATACCCAAATATTCATCACTAGTCAAATTATCATCGATAAAAAAAGGTCCTATTATGTGGTCACCTGAAATTCTTGCCCAAACATTCTGTTTTTGAGGTCGTTGGGTATAAACTTGACGGTATAAATGAGGATTCGTATCACTCCAATATCGACAATTTTGCCGATTCACCTCTCCATTCAAACTAAACGTACATTCATCCGAAAAACAAATTTTATACAAGAAATTCTGATGCAAGTTGATCCGTTCAGTGAGACTTTCACAAAACTCGATAGTCTATCGAAATCATCTTCGTTCAATTCATGAACTAGTCTAATGGATGAAATTTGTACTTATGAAAGATCCTGAAAACATTTGTACGACTGATTCCTGATTTTCGAGATAACTTAGAGATTGCGAATTTTCTATTAGTCCAACGTGCCCTAAAACTGCAGTACAAACAGCTTCATCGTTGACAATTCCTGTACGGTTATACTTTTTATTGTTAACAGATCCAGTTGCCATAAATTTGTTCAATAATTCCGAAACGTATTTGTTTCCTACATTTCTTCCTGGCTGATTATCATTGAACATACGGGCAGCAGCTCTAGCACACCATTTCCATTCCGATAGTACAAACTCACTATTTCAATTCGTTCTCGAAGTGTATAAACCACTGATTCTCAAGAATTCACAAAAATAGAAACACCAATTGTAACTTCACCTGGTAGGTAATCGTTATTGTAGAATGAGACAAATACAAAATGAAGAGGATATCGAATTCAAACTTAACTAGGCAAAATGAGACTTTTTTGAAGTATACTTCCCAAAAACACCTATGAAACCTAGGTAACAGATTGTACAGAAGTTCATCCAGGGTGGCTCGTTTTCAACTCAAATAATTTTTAGCTTCCAAACTATGAGCTTGAGACCATAATGTATTCTACTTTATTGAAATATGTTCATCATGGAACATCTGATAGTGCAAAACAATTGATGCATTAAAAAAATGGTGACATGCTCTGGGGGTGCGGTAGGGAAAGTTAGATCAAATGTTAATATGTCCCCCTGTATACTATTGTTGAGGTGGTTTCTTATTTTTCCTGAAGTTATTCAGGGTAGCTCATATTTAACTCAAATCAGTTGTAGTTCCCGAACCATAAGCTTCAGACCATATGTTTTATACTCTGTTGAAATTTGGTCATCATGGAGCATCTGATAATGCGAAACAATATAGGGTGATCCATTTAAAGAAATTGGTGACATGCTCTGGGAGTGCGATAGTGGAAGTAACGTCAAATGCGAGTATGTCAAAATGTGTCCCCCTGTATACTATGGTTGACGTGTTTTTTTATTTCTTCTGCAAATCATTGTACCTATCAAAAGTTATTTAGGATGGCTCGTTTTAAATGGAATGCACTGTGTATAATGCGTAGTGCTTCACAGATGATATCACATGCTGAAGTAGTATCTCGGGTATTCTATCATTAAATAAAAAAAATATCTGCTGTTTATAAAAATTATAATGAAAGTCAAATTATTTTTCTAGATATTTCAAAGTGAATAAATCCAAAATCTACATGATGATAAGTAAAGTAAAAAGTGATAGCATAATATATAACCTGTATAATAAATAGTCAGCAAATTGACGTAATTATAAATTTTCAACTCTGAATAACGTTTCGGAAAGTGATTTTTTCTGTCATTGTGATTTTGAGAAAGCTATGTAAATGAAAATTAATAGTGAAAAATCATTTTTAATGACAAGCGTTCATTCAACAGTTGTAAAAAGGCGAAAAATGACTTCAATTTGAATCAAACCCATTGATTTATTGCATTACACAATCTAGAAGCGAGATTTATCAACTTTATAAAAAATATTTTTTCTTAGAATTTTGTAATATATAAGAATATACAGGGTATATACATATAGAAAGTTCCGTACATCACAAAGTTACATATTGTATTCATATTTCTATGCACAGGTAAATCTCGCGATAAGTTTTTGATCTCGTATAAATTATGTGCAGCATCCTCTACATCCTCTACTTATAAATTATGTGCAGCATCCATCTACACAAATATATTTGCATTTTCGAACATACCAGAGAAAGTGGAGTTACTTTCAGCGTCTCCGGTATTTCCCCATACCGTTTTATTACTAATGTTGATGTCTGCCGCTGCAGCAGACGAAACGATCG